TGTTTGAAACTAGCTTAACAATTGACCACTTCACATTTTTCCAAATGTGTTTTAATGCTTCTGATATAGTGGGTTTACTTAGATGGGATTCAGGGATAACTCTTAAAAGTGTGTATGTATATGTGTAGGATAGGAAAGGAAGAACATTCATGATAACTTTTTCAGGATTGTGGAAAAAATAGTGATTTCTAAAGCATATTTTATTTTCCTGGTTTTTACTATTAATATATTATGTTGGAAATTATGCTGTATATACCTTATTATTCCTCAAATTTAACAAGCAGCGAGGAAAGAATCCAACACAATTGGAGATTAGCCAAAAGAGAGTGGCTGGAGAAGTTTTACTCATTCAAAGTGACTTCTAGCCAAAATTTTCAGAAATTTTTATAGTTTTTTTTTTGCTTTATCTAAGAATATTAAAGTATTCATGTGTTCAGTCTGATGTTAAAATTTGACTTTACTTGTACTAAATACATCAGTTCTGTAGTGAACACCTAGTTTATGATTGCATATATTAAATCTTCTCATTCAGAAATAAGTATGCACTAAAGCTGAGGGCAGGAAGTGGAGTTTGTTGGGGGCAGCTTATTAGCTTCTGTAAGTACTATTATGCTTCATACTTTCTGCCTGGTAGATGGAGAGTAGTAGTGCAGTAGATGTTAAGGAGGATCCACGTTCTAAAAACCATGAATGAGGACATTCAGGTACAGCAACTACAAATAAAGATAAGCGAGTGATTGGTAGATGGACTGAAGCAGTGGGGTTGGGTTAAATTGGCAGAGGAAATGCTGTTAGAGCAAGCTCGGTACTCTGGAGAAGTGATCACTTGTTCGGAAATGTCATTTTAGTTTCATAGGATTACTGAAACTATTTTCATGTGTCACTTTTTATAATAATTACTGTGTAATGCACTTACAGTTACATTCACCTGTGATTAAACTGGATTGTTATATTTTTTTCATTTTGCTTCAGAAAGGGGGCACAGATGATGAGCCTGATAGACATTTTAGATTGGAGCATAAGAAGGCTTTAACAGTAGCATCAGACTGGCGTTGGACATGTCCTTGGGCCTGTTACCATCAGTCGTTACAATGTACAGCGCTTCAAGAACAGAAATGTGGCTTGCAGGCAGCTAGGGCCTTGATTTCACAACAGTTCTGACTTACGGGTTGGGACAAGATTTTTGAGGTTAAGGTTTAAAAAAAGAGTGAGTTGTTTCTTTGCCTCATTAACATCTTACAGTCTATTTTGGGAGATTTCTGAACTCCAGAGCTGCCAAATCCAATCTTATGGGGATGTTAATTTATAACTAAAATGTAGCCTTTTATTTACATAATGGTTTTCAGTGTATTTTGTCACAAAGGTAATATAAAAGTAAAAATGCTGGCATAATATAAGTGCAGTTGGTATAAAGTTATTCTTTTTATGTGGTTATCTGTGCCTCTTTCATATGTACAGGTATGTATGAAAAGTTTTCCCAAAATAATTCCATAAAACCAGTGACAAAGTGGACCAAATACATTATTCTAGATTTCACAGTCTGAAACTGTCAAAGCTTTAGTGCTACTGGAACACACGGAGGTGAAATGCTGTCAAGAGGTTCTCAGCCTTGGCCTGGCTCATAATTCCTTATAATTTCTTAATTTCCTGAAGAAAGTACATTTGACTTTTTCCGTGACCGCTGAATAATCTACCTTGGTTCTGTTCTTGTGTGTCTTCATTACTCCTCTTTACTCATCTGCCTGCACCTCAGATCTGTACCTAGGTTTGGGTCATTCAAGCCACTTTGCTGTTGTTTGATGTGCCTCATTAGGAAATGTAGTTATTTTTCTAAGGTAGAGACCTCAAAATCATTTGCAGCCTTTCCCCACTCAGCATTTTCTCTACTTCCAGTACCAAGGCCACTTAGTTCAGCAAACATCTGAGTCACGTTTAAATCTTTCCTCAAGCCACTCTTTCATTGCTGTCCTTACCACTACTGCCTTTAGTCAGGCTCTAATTGTTTATTTCTTCTTTCAACACTTGTGGCTGGCAAACATTTGAGAGTCTAGCTGTATCAAGCACTCTGCTGGGCACTGAGAATAGCAGATGCCTATACTTACTGTAATAAGAGTGACAGGCAAGCGTATGCGATTAGAGTACTTAATACTTTTAAAAATATTATGCTAAATATTAAATAAGATGCATGGTGATCTGTTAAAGAAGTATAGACAGTTCTGCATTGTGTGAAGACAGCCTGAAAGTATCACGCAGGGCTGACTATCACAGAGATGTGAGAATATCACGTAGGGCTGAGTAGGACAGAGCAGCACAGCCGGGAGGCAGCAGCACCTAGAGAGAAGTACCTGGAAGTGCTGTTACTTCTCGTGTTGTGTCACTGTGTCTTACTTCAGTGTTTCTATTACCATCTTCTCCCCAGTGTTTCATCATCATTTTATTGGACAGCTACGAAGAGTGTGCAAGACTAGGTTGTACATACCTAGTTCCACTTTATGTGTAGTTATTTGTGCAAAAAATTCCTTAGGTGGGAATGATTGGGCTGTGGGAATGTGGGCTGATTGTACAAGGCGTTTGTGTATAACATACAGAAGACTTGTGGACCAGAATAGCTAATCCGTTGGGAGGTAGGACAGGACCATGAAAGTTGTGAGCAGAGACTAGAAGAAGGGCGTACATGTTGACGACTATAGAAATTCCTTAGCTAAGGTATAATGGAGAAGAAGGTTTTTTAGCTAGAAGAAACGAAGCCAGAGGGTTGAGTGGAGGCCAGAAAAACCATGAAGAGTTTTGGGTATTAAACTGGGAGATGTGGACACTTCAAAGCTACTGAAAGGTTTGATTAAAGTTATGCTATAGGTTTATGTTTCAGAAGGAAATTCCTGGTGATAGAAGCTTAACCTTAGCAAGTCCTTCTCTGTGTCCCATAACCAGTCAACTTGGTGAAACATGGGAAGCATCCAGCACACCTCACAGCTTAGGATGACTCCCAGATACCAATGTCCAGTTTTCTACTGTGACTTTGAGAAAGTCAGAGTTCCTTCCATTTTGAACTGTTGATTATCCCCACGTGACACCCGTTCATTGTGTACCTGTCTGTGCTGAAACGTCACACCAGACACTTTTCCTGGCTGTTAGACCCAGAATCCCCATCATTCCTTAGCTCCTTGCTTTCTTTTTCTGAACACTCACCAGCTGGAAAAACGAAGTTTATCATCTATCCTCCCACTGGGAGGGAAGCGCCATGAGAACAGAAGCTTTTGTATGTTTTGCTTACTAAGTATTCTGCACCTGGCAGATCGTCACAGGTGCGGAGTGTTTGTTGAAAGACAAACTTCTTGCCCCTCCTCTCTCTTTCAGCCTGGGCATCACTGTGCAGTGAGGGGGCCTCTCATAGTTCAGTCCACCCTAGTTTGCTTCCCCACAAAATCCTATCTTCTGAGATCCCTCTCAGATGTTCCTTTTTCTGTAAAGTCACCTGTCATGCAGTTACTTCTGCTCAGCACCCACAGTGCTGATTGGGTGTGCTAGCAGGGTGTTTTCCTGGGCTGTGTAGGATATGATAGGTATAAATAAGTATTTTGTAGCAACTTAGTGATTAACAAGTAAAGAGTTACACAGAAAGATAGCAATTAGGTGTGACTTAAACTTGATTATAAATGCAGGAAGAGGTAGGTAGGGAAACAGTTAACAATTTTTTGTTTAATATGCAATTACACAAATAGTATGGAGAAAGTACTGACTTACCTATGTACCACTTTACCAGCTTGTTACCCTTTTTAAATAGAAAAAGTATGAACTGTAAGAAAAAATTCCAGAAATAGTTAAATCCTGAAGAAATCACTTGCTTAGGGACACTGTAAAAAGCACAATAAAATTCCATATATACTTTATTTTCTTACACGAACTATTTTTTCTCTACAGATGTCATTGAAAATATAAATTAACTAGAAGCAGAGCAAATTACTAGCATTTTTACCTAAGCTAATTTCTACTTTGTATTACAAAATTCCATGGGGCTTATCAGAAAAGTCTTTGTGGTAAGAATACACTGGAAAGGTGTAGAGTCATATTCTTAAAACTTTTTTTTTTGTTTTTCTCTGTGTCTTGACAAGGGCTTGTGATGATTTGTGAGTTCGCTGTAAGTGATTGATTTCTGCAGTTAAATCTCGGTGAAGGCCCTTGTATGAAGTTTTCCAATTTCTCATTTCTGAATTCATGTTGTCTCCCTTCCATAAGTCTCTTCTCTCAGGTGAATGTTACGGGGTTTTATCAGACTTTCTTATTCAACATTCTGACACAAACAATGAAAGCTAGGAATTAAGTAGAATGCACCCAGTCAAGAAAGCAAAAGTTACCATTAATTGGAGTTAACCTCTGATATCTGTTATTTAACAAATATCAACAAAATTGAATCTGCACTTGTTTCAATGTTTGAGGACCATATCAGATAACGAGGGGGACCTTTATAAGGTGATGAGAGGCCTCTAAGAAGTCTTTGCTAGTGAGATGAAAGTGGAAACTAGAAATAATGAAGATAAGCTTTATTGATGGTGTTTCTATTTATTTGCAACAAAAATGTTGAGATGCTTCTCGTGGAAGACAGCAGAGGTGGCCTACTTTTCACATACTTTGATGCAGATTTATTTTCCTTCATCTCGTAATGGCTATTTTTGAGGGAGAAAAAATTCTAGTAGACTTGTTAATTGCAAATTACTCTATGTGCATGAAATATAAGTAAGCGATTTCCCAACATATATTTAGGATTTTTCTATGATAAGTTCATAAATTTTTTAAATAAAACATTAGGAAAAATTTTACCCCTCCTCTTGTTTTACTTAGTTAAGATACGAAAGGAAGATTTATGCAAGACTTACGCAAACTTAAAGTAAGTTTTTAAAGTTTGTTATATTCCAAAAATATTTAGGGAGATGTTATAGTACAGTAGATATCTTTGCTTTATGTTTTTAAAGAATTTTTATGATCTTTTGTTTGTTTTTCAGAGTAAAGCCAATCCCAGCTGAAGGAATCAAGTCAAATCCTTCCAAGCGACATAGAGATCGACTTAATACTGAGTTGGACCGTTTGGCCAGTCTGCTGCCTTTTCCACAAGATGTTATTAACAAGCTGGACAAACTTTCAGTTCTTAGGCTCAGTGTCAGTTACCTGAGAGCCAAAAGCTTCTTTGACGGTATGACATTGGGTTTGATTTTTCTACAATAACTTACAAAATACTTACATTAAAGATGGTTGTTTCTGTGTTGTAGAACTATAAAAATCAGCCACAGGTGAGAAAAAATTTATTTGTTGCTATATAGAAAAATTTAGGAAGCAAAATCTAATTTGATTACTGCTAAAATAATTTTCTGGTTCTAGTCATCAAAGAGTTTACAGTTATGTATCGTTCTTTGATAATCACCTATTTAGAAATTATGCTTCAGCTACGTATGCTCATTTCTAGTTCCCATTTCTACCTTCTAGATAATGTGTGTGAGCACACATGTACATACAGACATGCACACATGAATATGGGTATATTATATAATAATGGGTATATTATACAATACGCGTGTACATACATATCTAACTTGAAGTCTGTTATTCAGTGCCTCAGATAAGGGAGATTCCAGCTCTACCTTCTGAAGAATGTAACAGCGTAACAAAGGTTATCATAGAATTCTTGTTAAAAAGTGTTTTCTCAGCTCCTCATTATCACACGAGCTTTTCTTTTCTTTTTTTTTTTTTTTTAACCCCTGTACTGGGAATTGAACTCAGGACCTCATGCTTGCCAGCCAGGTACAGTACTACTGAGCTAAATCCCCAGCTCTTAGCACTTCATTAATGTTAGTTTACTTTTTATTGTGGCCCAGGGTATTTGACAGTAGGATCTTATTATCAACAATAGGATCTTACTCATTTATCGTTTATGTTATTTTTAACTTTAAAATCTTTACATTACTGGTTCCGAGTTGTTCCAGACTGATTGCAGGTGGGTGTGAGACTACCTGGAAAACATGTTTCAATGCACATTCTAGGGCATGCCTCTTACGTGCTCACTCAGTAGGCTTTTTGTAAAAATACAGAAATTAGAATTTAAACAGGTGTGTTAGAGTCTTCATGGTTGGTTGTGCTTTTAACTAGTTTTAAAAAATTATTTGCTTCACCTTTGAAAGAAAAAACCCAAACATAACAAAACTTTAGAAAGATGATAAATGTGTTTACTTAGGTTTTAGTGCCATGCATATGTCCTGTGCACTACCCGGGTTATACTATAGAGGAAGGAATATAGAGTTAGAGGGAAGGTGAAGGGGTACAAATTAGTTAAAACTAAAAAAGATGCCAGCATCTCATCTAGAGTATCACAGGTCTGGAATGACAGCACAGTATTCAGAGCACACAGAGAAGAAAAGTTGGGGGTAACCCTTGGGAACTGAAAGATGCTGTATGCGAAGTGGGAGACTTGGAACTTGCTGCAGTGTTTAGGGTTTTCCTGACACTTCGACTCCCTGTCCCACTGCTAGGGAAGCTGTAGAGCGAAGTAAAGGGAAGCTCACCATGAATAACAGGATGCAAACAGGGGGTGTGTAAATTCCTGCGGAAAGAATAATATAAACGAATAATCATACAATCTTTTCAGAAAGGAAACTCAAGTTTTACTAAAACAATAGATATTTTTCCAAGAAAATACATCTATTTATTGCAAGTTTAAATAATCCAACTTGGATGGATCTTCTTAAACTTTGGAGACATGAGTATGTTGCTATTACTATCTAAAAAGCAATGTCTACATTTTAAGAACAACATTAATATTTATCTGTTTCTAATTAACTGAAACATTCTAAAACATAAATTTTAAGTACTTCAGCAGGACTTCAGGCACTTTTCGGGTGTGGTAAAGTTAGAACTAGTGTGATAGGATCTGAGTACTGCGGTCAGTTATCACACTCTCCTGAGATGGAAGGTATGTTACAAAATTTAAATCATTCAATGACTGTGAACCCCGGTAGTTTATTTATAGGGACTAGGATTTGGGCAATTACAACCTAATCTTTGAAATTGGTTGATGTTGTTGTCTTTTAACAGTTGTCAAACAGTAAACACTGAACTTATTGACCAATTTAATCAGGCTGGTATTATTTTATTAGTAATAATTTCAACATATATTAATACTTTTAGTTACATTTCTTTATTACTTTTTGAAATGTTCATGTGCATGTAAATGTTGTATTTTTTAATAGCAGTCCAAAAATGAAACTTGGGGGGAAATGAGAATTGCGAATGACTGTCTTTCTCTTTAAAAGACATAAATATCTCATGAAGAGAAAAAGGTAGAAAAATATTTCTGCCACAGTAGTGGGTAAGAGATCATGTAGCATTCATTAATTCCATAAAATATTTATTGTATTGCACCATTAAAAATGGAGCATTATAGTCACAAGGAATGCTTAGTATCCTCCATTTTGTTTTGAGTTACAGGCTGTTTGTGACAGCTTCATAATTGAGATGTATAATTTTGTGGGAAAAAAAGACTTAGAAATAGACAAATACAAAGGTGATTTTTGTGTAGATTGTTATTAACCTATACAAAACTAAATTTCTAAATCTAGATTATTAATTTCAGAAATTCAGAGGTAGAGAAACATCTGAGTCCTTGATTCACAGAATGTGCTTAAAATTTTCCCATTTTACAAACCTCAAAATTATTTACATTAGAATATTTGAAATTCATGAACTCTAAAATACTGTGGGAAAGCAATATAATTATTAGATGTGATAATCTAACACTTTTTAACCTCGTTGTTTGTCATGCATCTTTAATAACTTTTATTTTAAATTAAAAATTATAATTGTTCTTTCCTAAGTCGTCTTTTGAAGGTGCTTTGTTTCCTAGTTTATTTGGTTTTAAAGAGTCAGATGCTGTGGTTATTCATCCTCTGCTTGAGCATTTGTGTACATTTCAGTCTTGTTGTGGTAACCCTTGAAAGCAAAACATTTTTCTTGGAAATATTACATATATATATATATATATATATATATATATATACACACACACACACACATATGCCATTAAAAAGTATGAACAAGCAGTAAAAATGAATACAGTACTAAAGTGCTCTTAAAGATCGATGTCATATAAAGTCTAATGTATTTATCCAACTTTTCATCCAGGGAATTTTATAATTTCATAAACTTTCTTGTAATTTTTAAATTATACAACAGTATAGTCATTTGCCAAGTAATGTATAGAAACCTTAGTATCCCAGCAAATATTGTTTCTTAATTCTAGAAATGTCTAAAGTAGATTTATTTGCGTAACAGTTCAGTACATTTGAAGCCATCATATATTCATAGCATTATCCCTCTTACTTCATTATTTAGCTATATATTTTCTCCCAAATTCCATTCTAAAACTTGAATGTCTGTTTGTAAGATTGATAACTTCTGTAGCTAAAACTGTATTAATCTAGTAATTCTTTTAGATTTAATTTAATTCAAGTAATTTAAACATGAATGAATAAAAAGAATAACAGATCATTCCTATTAAGTGAATATTTAGAATCCTGGCTTTTATAGTGAACATTCTGACCTCTTGGATCAAACATTTGTTTCCTGTAACTATTCTAATTTTCAATACATAATTTATTAGATTACATGAATAACTAGAATACTTTGTGATATAATTTTATACAGGAAACTTTTATCCGTTTGCTTTAACGGGTACTTAAAAATATATATCGACATATCTGAGATTCAAACAGAACTTAAAATTGCTCATTGTGTATTGTATATCTTGTCTCATCTTTTAAATTTAGTGAATAATACTCCCTCCAAATGCTGGAGATTGAATCTAGGACCTCAAGCACGCTAGGAAGGTACTGTCTCAGTGCTATATACCTTAACCATAATAGGTTTTTGGTCATTAATGTTAGATGAATCTAGAATTCTAAATTGGCCATAAACAGGTCTGGCTAGTCCTAAATTTAAGCGTGTAGCTTTTCATGAAAAATTTTTAGGAAAGACCACCAGTGGGATGATATTAAAGTTAGCCAGCTTTCAACAGTTTTTTAAATTTAATTTAAATACAGACACTTAAATATCTATAGATAAATTTTTTTGAGGTGTTGTGACCAGGTTAATAGAAACCTGTGACCAGGCTTTATATTATAGTGTTTTTAAAACTATATATATATATATATATATATATATATATCTTAAATTAATCACTTTAAAGCCTATAAACATATATTACCAGTAATCATTTTTTCACAATATTTGTTATATTTTTTAATCTCGCCTGTAGGTCCTTTTGATTTTTTAATCAATACATTTTAGTAAGTAGCTCAGACTCATTTATTTGTCAGAGATGGAAATTAAATTTTGGAGTTATTGTAATACTAGTGGACTAATATTTTAACACATGAAAGTGAATAAAATGGTGTAACTGAAGCACATGAGTAACAGAGAAAATGTCAAGTATAAGATGTTTTAATGAAGGAATGAAATGGGCACGGGAAATGTGGAATAAGAAACTATGCTACAGTGATACTGAGTTCACTAAAGATGCCTTAATTTGGTGGGGCAGCTTCTTAGAGGGTAGAGTAGAAAATTGTGTATGAAAACATAAGCTGAAATGAGATTGAAGTCCCACTGGAAAATTAATCATCCTAAGACAGATCGTTTCTGGCCCTGGGTTGTCTGTGGAAGCCGCAGCCATTCTGGTGTCAGCAGAGGGTGGTTCAGGGAGAGACGGATTGGTCCACCTAATGAACCTCAGTTATCCATCCAAAATGTTTTCCTTTTTCTTTTTCCTTGCCTGAAATTTTCTCACATGATGTGAGGATACGTTTTATTGTCAGTTTCATGCACTGTTTTCTTGGCAGCTGGATTCTTGGTTGTGTGTAGTTTGTTTCTCCATGATAAAAAGGGAGATTGTGTCTTGTGATGAGAAGACAGCCAGGCAAGAGATGCAGATGCCAGTTAAGATAACTAACTTTTTTGTGGCTTTCCATGAGACCTTCAGCATCACTATTCCTACTGTTTTTTCAACGTAGACAGTAATAATGCTTGCTTGCCATTTTACGTTAATAGTATAATCCCCACAATAAGGTATCTTTGAAATCTTACAATTAAAATTCTTGTCAAACAGATAGTAATTAATACCTTTATAATCTTAATATTTCACTTCTTTTT